TGATAATGATTTCAAGGAGCTCAGAGACAAGAGTTCACATCTTGGGAAATCCAAACGTGTGCGCAGCCCTTCCTGGTGGCTTGGTGCCCACCACAGCCTTGTCTTTGTTCTCAGGTGATCTTCCCTTTGCTATCTGAGGCAGGGTCTTTCTCCTAGCCACACTGTCACTAGACTCTCACTTAGGTACATGCAGGCATAGGTAGAATAGTTAACGTAAAGGACAAATGCATTTATCTCTTTGGTCAAAGACTCTGTGTCTGTTCCATTAGCTCACTCCTGAGGTGTTCAAAAAGAGATGAGATCTGAATTGGCCCAAGAGAGAGATGTGGTCTAGGATTATAATAAAACCAGGAAGGATGAGCCATTAAGCTGTGAGAGTCCTAGGAGAGGCTGGGGTGGGTGGAAGGTCAGGATCCAAGTGCATTGCTGGTATATTTGTTTCAGAGTAATTGACACAAAGCTTTGATAAGTTCTCCTACTCCACCCCCATGCTGGCAGCTTTAAGCCTTCTAACAGTCATTTTCTTAGGGGTTGCCTGATGACTTGTGTGGAAGCCCCTCACTTCCTTCTTGCACAGTGATTTCTGTGGTAGCTATGCTCAGTCAGGAGCCAGACACTGGTGGGAAACACACAGACAATCACATTTTCCTTCTGATTCAGAGAAACCCATAGCTGCTCCGTTTCATCTGGGAAGACCTGTATTGACCAAAATGGCTATCTGCACGAGAGCTTGGGAACATGGATGTGGTGACTGGGGTCTTCCCTATTTAGTACCTGGTCAGGGGACTACAATGGGCCAAACACAGCTCATGTGAAGCTGAGGTGATCAACTATCCATGACCAAGATCAAGACCAGACTGAAAGGCCATCCTGTCCCACATACATGCTGGAGAAGAAAAGGGATCTTTGAGGGCTCATTCTTCATGGAACTTTTTTTATCAGAGGTCAGCTTCACGCAGGAAACCCACTAGTCAGTCCTTTCATCACAGCGCTTTCAAAGAGAGAATCAAGAGTAATGCGGGATTGTTGCCTTATCACCCTGGGCCCTTTTCTCACTATCGTCTCACCAAAGGCAGACACTTTTCCTCTGCCTTTGAGTATGCCATCAAGGGTAGATAGCCAGCTCTGTGGCTGGCCACCCTGGTGCCACTTGGGGTCTTGTGCAATAAAGGTTTGGCTAAGACCTTTCCTTTCACAACAGCAGCCACCTGCTCATTCTGGACCCATATAACCTCAAGTCAAAAAGCAGACTGTCTTGGAGCCTCAGGATGATTTATTGTTCCTGTGCCCCATCTCTACCACAGAGCTGCCCATGATGAGGGGAAGCCCAGTAGCTCCAGCCAAGTCCATTAGGGTGGTGCTTCTGTGCCTCCATCACATGGGTGAGAGGCAGCGGCAAGGCAGGATGCTGAGAATGACCTCCCAGCTGGAGGGATGCTTGGGCACATGAGGAAGAATCAGAGGTGGCTGGGGGGAGGGGGGTGCCACAGCCAAGTGTTTGACAGAGCTGAGCACAGGGATGTTGTTGATGCTAGAAGCTGCCTGGAAACTTCCCTGCTCATTGGAACTCAGGGCTCAAACCAGGGGCTGATCTGGTGACCAGAGCAGGACACAGCTCCCAGAGTTTGACCCTTGGGAATTTTAAATGTTTCATTTGATAATGCACATCCAAAATGGGAGATTGCACCAAAAAATATGAACTCTTCTGTCTTCTGGAGATGAAGACATTGTAACACTAGCAACCTTCTTAGTATGGCTGAGAAGCCCCAGGCACTTGACTGTGCTGGCCCCTGCTTCAGACCAAAGATTCGGTTCTTCCATTGACTGGTTTTTTAACCTTAAACCACTTCCTCTGGAATAAGATGCTCTACATTTTGTTTAAGTGATACTTGAATGTTCTTTATTCAGCTGCCTCTTATTAGGGGTGACCATATAAAACAAGGCCATGCCTGAGGATTGGTGTAGGCAATGCCGAATCATGTCAGAAAGAGGCAGAAACTGTCTCCCCAAGCCAACAGAATCCTTCTCTAGACATCTGTTTGTGATCCGTGGGTGGGAATTTATTTTCATAACACTGTTGATTGGGCCGGGGATTTAGCTCAGTGGTTCCAGTGCCTGCCTCGCAAGCACAAGACTTAAGTTTGACCCCCAGTACTGAAATAAAGCAAAACAAAACAAAATAACACTGTTGATTCCTAACCTTGAGAGTCAAAGAAAAAAATGGTGTTTTATATTTTTAAGCCATATGATTGGCCAATGGAAAAGAGAAACAACTTTTTATCACTCAGAAAGGCATGCCAAAGACAAATGTTTTAATTCCTAGTGTTACTAAATAAGATAGAGCAGATACACTAATAAGAAATAGAAGCCGGGCATGATGGTGCATGCCTGTAATCCCAGCACTCAAAAGTCTGAGGCAGGAGGATCACTGTGAGTTCGAGACCAGCCTGGGCTACATAGTGAGTTCCAGGTCAGTCTCAACTACATAGTGAGACCCTGTGTCAAAAACAACAACAACAACAACAACAACAAACAAACAAACATACAAACAAAAAGAAATAGAAAGAGTGACATTAAATGTCTATATGTAACACATTCTGCCCAAGAGACTATTGAGATAAACACCTTGCACATAAAAATTCATTGTCAGACTCACTACTGCTAATAAAGTATTGAACTATTTTCCCCTTTCTATGGATGAGAGAGGTCAAGGTGTTTCCCCCAGGTTACACTGCTAGTGTAATAGCAAAACTGGGATTTGAACCATGGTTTAAAAAACCTATGGCAAAAAAATAAATAAAAACGAGTTGTGGAAGGTATGAGATAGCTTTGGGTATAGGCTTTGAGGTTGGTCTGACTGAAGTTTAAAACCCAGCTCTGCCAACATCAAAGCCTCACCTGTGAGGCGGAAACTGTACTCCTGACTGCAGGAGGCCATGGAGGAGGAAGCAAACAGGATCTGGTCTGACTCGGGAGCCATGGATCTGGGCACACAGCTATGCCTGTTAGGTGATTCAGATTCATTCCACTGCTTCCTGCTACACATGTGAGGTACTGTGGGGCAGCAGGGGAGGATTTGAGAAAGCTCAAGGCCACCAAGGAAGCACAAGTCAGAAACAAACTCCTAAGACTGAGACCTTGTGCACTGTCCTGCCAGAGTCCTGTCTGTTCCACCTTGTGTCATGCGTGTTGGTCTGGGAAGGATCTGAAAAGATTTTCTGCTAACAGCCAGATACTAAACATATTAAGCTCTGTGAATCACATGGTCTTGGTCACAGCTACTACTCAATTCTGCTATTGGCATAGCATGAAAGCAGTCTTGGACAAAATACACATGCATATGGATGGCAATATGCCAATAAAACTTTATTTATAAAAGCAAGCGGTGGGCCAGCTTTGGCCCTACAGCTACAGGATCAATTCCTGATCTACAGCTTTAAAGCTTAGGCAACTTACACAGCCAGCAGCAGCTGAGCTCAGGCTAAAGGAGAAAGAATTCCACATGCTTTCCACAGCATAGGGGAAGACTTGTTCAGAAAAACGGCATCACTGCAAAGTCACCTTGTGCCTAATTTCCCCAGTATGGTTTATGTTTATCACCAACTACATCAATATCCTCTTGAGTCAGGGCCTCACTGAATTCTGCAGGTCGTGTGGTCCCTTGGTGCGGCACAGGGCACACAGTGGTGCCCTACGAATACGTGGGACTGACAGCTCCCGGGAGGACAGACTTGATTAACCCAGCTGCCAGGCTGGGAGCCTGCAAACTGTTTGCACACAAATTTAAGATCTCCTTTGTGATACTAACCAAACTCCAAATGGCTGGCTGCAGAGTCCTGGTGTTTGTCCTCAGTCCCTCCCACCTTAAATGAGAGCACTCTTTTGACTTAGAGGTAAATTATTCCTCTTTGCAGTCCTTCAGGGATGGCATCCTCCCAGGGACTGCTGGTCACTGTTCTGCATGTTTGTGTTGCCCATTGCCTGACATAAAGGATTTTTTAAGGAGATGGAGGACTTCATGGCCTGAAAGAGGATGAGGCCACAGGGGAGGCACTTTAGAAATCCAAGCACCTCCCACTGTCACCTCAGAGCAGTGGAGGGGCCCAGGAACCCGATCCAAGAAAGCATCTGAGCCTTTCTGCAGAAGGTGGCACAGGACAGACGGAGCCTAGTAGACAAACCAGAATCAAGGCAGAGGCATAGGAGGGGTGCTTATGTTTTCATCTTCACTTGCAAAGGCGGCAGTGCTCCTCTCTGCAGCCCTTGCACTCCAAGAAACCCACAGAAGGATGCTTTCCAAGCTGTCTTATTTCACTTTGGCAATGGCCCTATGCAGTATTGCCTTACCTCCCCACTCTACAGATAAGGAAACTGAGGAACAGAGATGCTAAGAAATTTGCCTGAGGTCTCACAGCTTTTAACAAGCTGGAACTCAAGCTTGGGCCATCCAGGTCTGAGACTCCACTCACCCATGCCACAAACTGCCTGTCTGGGTCAACACAACCAGTCTTTGAAGCTAGTTCCAGTGTTTCTTCTCCACAGCGCTATGCTAAGGCGTGGATGGAGCAGGCAGCCCTGAGTCCAGCTGTCTTGTTTTGCAGCTGGAAGATGATGCCCCAGGGAAGGAGTGTCCAATAAAGAGTGCTTACCCACTGACTCAGCCGCCAGACTCCTAACACAGTGCTCTGCACATCATCTTCCTGAGACTAAAGGCAAAAAGCACGACAAACACTTCCAAGCCCCCAGAAACCATCAGAGCACGAGTGCTCCTTCTCCCAATAGGCACCAAAAAAATTCAAACAAGCAAGGGAACAAACAACTGGCCCTGATCTGGCTCCCACGAAGTTAAAGGCACACACCACACATGCCTTGTGGCCTCTGTCACACTGGCTGTTTGCCATCTGACCTCACCTGGCTGCTTTGTGACCAAACACATCCCAGCAAGATGGCCAATGGGAGCAAGGGGTCCCAGCCGGATCCCTCTATTCTGAGCGGCTCAAGTTACTCCAACAGGCACAGCTTCCACACCACTGGGGGGCAGAGAGAGGTCTGCTCACAGCAAGACAACTGCTCTAGGACCCTGACTGTCCCCAACAGATGGCCACAGTCACCACTCACAGGATCTCCGGTAACCAGAAAGAAAACAGATCACAATGATTAATGGGAACCCTCCACATTGTGCCCAAGGGCCCACTCAGTCTCATGGCTGGTCCTAAAAACTTAAATGTTTAAGATGATGAATGGCAGGCAGTCATGTCACTGGCTAGTCAAGTCTCACATCTCCAGCTACCTCAGGAGGGCAAGGAGGCAACACCACACACACACACACACACACACACACACACACACACACACACACACTGACCTCCCTCTGGGCCCCTCACATGCCCCTTGAGACCTACCTGCTTCCATAAGCTGGCACTGTAGACTGAAGACGTGGGAGAAGGTGACAGGGCCTGCTGCCAGCATGGATTCTGTGGTCTTTTGGGGTCTTTGTGTCGCGGTGTCCAGACCTCAGAGTATCTGAGCAGGGGACTTTTGTCTCTGACCCAGGAACTGTAGACTTGAGGGTACTTGTCACCTCCAAGAAAATGTCTCTGTGCACAAAGTTTGGTGTTTCTTCCTCTTGCCGCCCTTTCCTTGCAGTTTTTCTCAAACGCGAGCTAAGTGAAGAACGTCCCGACCCCTGAGGTGCTCTGAAAGCCTGGCGCTACTGGAGTTGGGTGTTAAGGGCAGATCCAAGTCCCCCCACCCCACAGAGTTGATGTCTGTGGTCCAGGAAGGGTGGCTGGGACTTGCATCTGCCTCCCCTGCGGCCCCCAGAAAGAGTCCCAGGGTGCTGCTCAGCCTCGCTGCACTGGCACCTGCTAGAGTTCCAGCCCAGCCGCGTGCCCTCGCCAGCTGCGGGCACAGCCCACCCAGGCTCCGCCTTGTCTCCTTCCCAGGGAGCTGGTCTCACCAGGCACCGCCCCGCTCCCTGCAGCGCCTCGCTGGGCTCCTTGGTCCGCGCTGAGCACCGAGGCCCAGAGCCCAGCACCCCCAAGGCCGCAGTTGCGGACAGGGAAGAGCACACGGCTCAGGCGCTGGGCAGCTTGGCTGCACCCGGCAGCCCTGGCTCATCCTTCACTCTCGCGGATGCCTTGGCCCGCCCACTCTCGCTCCTTGCGAAGCAATGGAAAACCCAGTGAGACCTGGCGAGAAGGTTCCCGCTGTGTCCCACTGCAGCAGGCGCCCCAGCCCAAGCTTGTTCCATGATGCGAAGCCATTACTTGGAGAGTTCCTGGATGCAGAAGGAAGGGCTCTCGGTCCAGCAAGCTCCTGGGCTGCTGTAACCACTTCATGCCCACAGCCAATGCCAAACACAGGAGGCAAGACAGCTGGCAAAAAAAGTCCAAGGATCAGGACAAGAACAGGAGAAAGATGCCACAATCACCGATGACCCTGGAACGACAGACGAGCAGGTGCTTCTGTGGCCATCCTCACCCTGAGCGGTGTGTAGAATCATCTGTCTGATCCCCGCTTTGAATGAAAGGGGCTGTTTCTCTGGAAAGGAGTGGGAGGGATACCGCTCCCATGATCACAGCAGCTGTTTCCGTGGGCGCTGCCTTTATTTTACTTTTCCATCTGCTGAGTACAAAGGTGCTGGTTTTCCAGACACCACACCTGCCGCGAACATTTGAGTGATGTCTTTGTAGGTGTGGCCTCGACAGTCGCAGGACTCTGGCAGTCAGCTCCTTAAGTAGAACCACATATAGCAGGAGCAGAAAGGCCCGGCGGGATAATCAAAGCACCTGTGCCTGCTTTTCTCAGGAAGTTTTGTTTGAAGCCATTTGCCTATTCTAGATTTAAGATCCCAAAGGTAAAATGCCAACGGACCTGTGGGCCCCCGAACCTCCCAAACAGAAGCTTTTCCCATGGGAGCCCTTGAACAGCACAGATACACAGCTCGATGATATTAAGGTTTACGTGGGATGAGTAAAGCCAAGCCAGAGAAGCTTTGAAATACTTCTAAGAGTTCCAATGAAGCCTGACTTCATCATGTGTGTGGCTTACAGTAATGATTTAGCGAACCTTTTCTTAGCGTGGAAGAGGCTCTTCTCCAAATTATGGAATTATAGAACATCAGAGTCTGCTCCCTCTGACAGTGGCTCTGAGATTATCAAGGGCGGAGGCCAGGAGAAGACCCAACTCTTGCTAACTGCAAAAGATATACAGAAGGGGAAATGACCAGCTTTCCAGTGGTCATAGCTACAGTGATTCGCAGAAATGGGCCACTAAGCCACTGCTAAACCACCTTTAAAAATCCAGGGTAGCCTTATGTGCTAATTCAACCTTCAGGTGTCTTGTTTAGCAGACCATGTTTTCCTCCCTTCTTTGTACACCCAGCGCCCTGCTGCTCATCACTCCATGGTGACTCATGTAAATTCTCCACACTTGGCTCTGTCTGCTCCCATAGCACCAGGCCCTGCCTCTATAAAGGCCAATGTGATGCTGCTGTCCACACTCAGGGAGCAGAGGCACTCGGAATGATTACGCTAGGATGAGCAGCATGGACCCGGAGAGCGGAGCCGCATGAGGAATTGCCTGCTTAGGTAGCTGGAGCAGCCTGAATGTGCTCCGAGCCAAAGGCTTCCAGGGCCTACCCCAGAGTGGCTGTGCTGGGTTACACTCTCGCTAATACCGCACACGATATTAGTACTAGTAAGTCACCCTGTACTAATACTCCCACTTTTCAACATCTTGGTTAATAACTGCTGGCAAAAACTGGGGAGCTGAGAAGTCTAATAGATGCAGCTCATGATAGCTGGTTCCATTTACCTTTCCACAATTATTAGTAAGTTGAGCTCTTTAAAGCTGACCTAGTGCCAGGTGTGGTGGTGCATGCCTGTAACCCCAGATTTGGGAGGGTGAGGTAGGAATTTTATGGCAAATTCGAGGCCAGACTGGGATACACAGTGACTTCAAGGCCAGCCTGAACTACAAAGCAAGGCCCGTCTCGGGGGGGGGGG